TTTTTTTTAAATTCTGAATTTTTTTTCTAAATAACAAATCAAACATGGTTCCGAAAAATTAAAATTTTTTTTTTCATCTAACGTAATTCTTTTGCAAATTTTGTTGATTTATCAAAGGTATTTTAGTAGGGGTAATATCGTCCATCAATTTATATTTTGGTGATGTCAGCTAACCATTTTTAACGTTTAGTTAACGGTAGGGGTTAAATTGTTATGCGAATATAGCCCTCGGGGGGCGGAATGTGATTTCTAAAACCTCAAGGGAAATATGTAATTTAGCTAAATCTAAAAGGAGGTGTAGGTAATTTGCCCTTTTATCTTTTTTATCACATCATTTCTTTATTTTTCTACACATCTTTTCATAAAAAAATCAAAACATACGCTTGTTTAGATCATCCGAAACAACCTCTTCATACAATATATAGGCTTGTTTTGGGAAATAGGTTAAAACTTTTTTTTTTTTTAAATTGTGTAACAAAATAAAGAGATAATGTGATTAAAAAAAATTAAAAAACCAAAAAATTGGCTTTTAGTTAGGTTCCCAAAATAGACCATTAGTTGGCTTTTAATAGGAGTTCACGTGGCCCGATATGGGCCAACCCGAGCCCGGGTTCGGATGGGCTCAGACTTGAGTGGGACTTGGGCGGGCTAGAACATTTAAAAAAAATTTATTTTATTTTTTCTATCAAAATTTTATTCTTTTTCAATAAAAATGACACTAGGCCATTGGTAGGCTGAACCTCAGACTAGATTTTGAGTGGTCCTTGAACAAATCAATTGGCCGGGCTTCAAAATAACATTCCAACCCTAATTGGGCCAGGCCTACCCTGAGCTTAACCGAGCCAGACCCACTTCAAACTATCACTGGATTTCAAACCGCGGACCATTTTTACACCCCTATCTCTAGCCATTAGGGATAGGCGCGGGTCGGTTGCGGTCACGAAACCTCCAATCTGCCATTCGTCCGCCAGATTGGCGGATTAGAGAAAACCAATTCGCATCCGTCTGCCAATTCGACAAATGTGGATTGCGCGGATTGACGAATTGGTGGATGGATGCGAATCGGTTTGGCGGTTTAAAATTTTATAAATTTTCAACATAAATCAACTTGTCCACTTCCTTAAAAAAAAAAAAGAAAAAAAAAAAGTATTACAGTCAATGACTTAAAAAAGTATTACAATCATTGTATGCCTTATCTAAAGAAAGAAAGTTTGAAACTTTAGAATATTACAATCACTGCATGCCTCATTCATGTAAAGTATTACAATATGTAATTCTTAAAATATAAAAGCAATTCAAACCATCAAAACCATAAATAAAGTAGTAGTAGAGATTGTATGCCTCTGTATTGTTACATTTATATTTGTTTTTGAAAACAAAAACAACCATCATATATCATCTTTTTTATTTATTATTTATTGAGTTAAATTTAAAAATAAAAAAATATACATAAATAATGCATTAATTTTTTTCAATTCAAAAAATATATTCAAGTTAAAAACTATTTTTCAACAGAATATATTCAACAAAATATTTAAACTATTTTTTAATTGAAAACATAAACAAAATATCTAAACAAATTGAAAACACAAAAGTCTTATAAATTACTAGGGGTACTTGCGGTTTGACAGTTCAATTACGGCCAAAAGAACCTCAAATCTGCTATTCATCCAAAATTAGGTGGATTAAAAAAATAAATCTAAAACCATTCATTCGTCATCACGTATCTATCCAAAATGTGATGGTTTGATTCGATTAGATCAATTTGTGCGGATTCATATATCCGTGGCTCACGGGGCTTTTCCCAAAATAAGCCCCTATACTAATTTATTTCTCAAACTAAGCTTAGTTTGGCTGAATTTCTCAAACAAAGCTGAAGCGTGTTTTGTAAACACGTTTTCAATATTTTTATGGTCTAGGCAGACAAAATAAATAAAATCATGAAAATGTGTTTAGAAAACGCGCTTTTAATTAAAATTTTACTAATTATCGCGCGAATTATAAAAGTGTATTTGGGAAATACGCTTATGAAAACGTGATTTGTAAACATGTTTTTAACTTCTTTTTTTTTTTCTTTTTAATCCTATGGTACAGTCACAAAAAGAGATTGTATTTACACCTAGGTGGTTCATTTGTTGTCTTATAATATAGGTTCTGTACTAGTCAAGAATTTTATAGAACTAAAAAAGAAAAGTTAAGGGCTTGTTCAAAAAAAAAAAAAAAAAAAACAAGAAAAGTTGAGATAAATTACACTAACATCCCCTGAGGTTTATATTTATTACAGTTTCTCTTCACCTTTTGGAAATTACATCTCCCTCTCTGAGGTTTAAAGTTTCATCACAGATTCCCCTTAGCAATTTAATTTTTTTAAATACCAATTTTACCCTAACTGGGTAAATTACATTGACACCCATTACATTTTAAAAATTACAATCTCCTCCCGAAGGTTTAAAGTAGCATTACTAATTGCCTCTCGGTTAGTATTAGTTGGAAAAAAAAAATTCATTGAATAAAAAATTTAATTGGGAAAAAAATTATTTGAAAAAAAATTAATTGGAAAAAAAATTTGTTAGTAAAATTTTTAAATTTATGTTTAAAAACCAATGTAAACTCATTTTTTGAATTTACATTTTTTTCTCGAATTTACAAACTGAGACAACAATTTATAAACCAAAAAAATTATCAAACAAGTTTTTATGACAATTTTTAAAATTTTTGTAAATTGAAAACTGAAAACGAAATAGTTAGGTGCCGTTTGGTAACACTGGTGTGTTTGGTAACGTTTATGTTTTCAGTTTATATTTACAAAAATTTTATAAACTGATTTTTGTTTATTTTTAGAAAAACATAAACTACAAACGTGTTTGGTAATTGACAAAATGTTTAAAAAAGTTTAAAAATATAAAAAAGAGTGAGAAATGGCAAGTGGCGGCGTAAGACGGTGGTGGAAAGTGGTGACGGTGGGTGGTGGGTAGCTGGTGGTAGCGGGTGGCGGGTGGTGGTGGTGGATGAGCGGGTGACGGTGGCGAGTGGTGGGTGGTAGCGAGTGGGTGGTAGTGGTGGTGCTGGTGATGGGTTGTGTGTGGCAGGTGGTGGATGGGTGGCAGGTGGCTAGCGGTGGTGTGTGGCTGGTGGTGGATAGTGATGGCAAGTGGGTAGTGGGTGGTGAGTGGTGGTGGCAAGTAGGTAACGAGTGGTGGGTGGTAGCCGGTGGATGGCAGGTGTGTGGTGGGTAGTGGTGGTGGTGGCAAGGGGTGGGTGGTGGCGGCGAGTGGGTGGCAGGTGGGTAGTGGCCTTGAAAGACGGTGGTGGCTAGTGTTGGGTGGTAAAAAAAAAAAAAAACTGAAAACTCAAAACGGAAACACATTTTTTGGCCAAATTTATAAACTGAGACCACTATTTATAAATCAAAAATTTTACCAAACAAGTTTTTATTTGAGTTTTTAAAATTTTTGTAAATATAAACAGAAAACTGAAAACATAGGTGCCGTTTGGTAACATTTACGTTTTCAGTTTTCTGTTTATATTTACAAAAATTTTAAAAACTCAAATAAAAACTTGTTTGGTAAAATTTTTGATTTATAAATAGTGGTCTCAGTTTATAAATTTGACCAAAAAATGAAAACACAAAAAATGTGTTTCCGTTTTGAGTTTTCAGTTTTTTTTTTTTTTTACCACCCAACACTAGCCACCACCGTCTTTCAAGGCCACTACCCACCTGCCACCCACTCGCCGCCACCACCCACCCACCACCCGCCACCACCACCACCACCACCACCACCTACCACCGTCACCCACCTACCACCACCACCACCCACCACCTACCCGCCATCCGCCATCCACCTGCCGCCATCCACCCGCCACCACTTTTCACTACCGTCTTTTGCCGCCACTTGCTACCACTTGCCATTTCTCACTCTTTTTTATATTTTTAAAATTTTTAAAATATTTTGTCAATTACCAAACGCATTTGTAGTTTATGTTTTTTTAAAAATAAACAAAAAATAAACAAAAATCAGTTTATAAAATTTTTGTAAATATAAACTGAAAACGTAAACGTTACCAAACACACTACTAAATAGGTCTCAGATGGTAAAAATATCATAAAATTAACAAATAATTAAATAAGTTACCAATGTAAGAAATGACTTATCAATTTTTTTTTACATTGGTAACTTATTTAATACATAACCTAAAATTCTTATATTGGTAACTTATTTAGGGGTTGTTTAGGATGATCTAAATAAGTGTACTTTTTGACTTTTTATAAAATATGGGTTAGGTTTGGTTTGGGTTTGAAGTGATTCGTTAGAGATGTGATGTGATTTAAATAAGATGATGTGATTTAAATAGAATAGTGACTTTTTGACTTTTTTTCTAACATGCCAAACCAAGCATTAGGCCAAGTTTGGCATATTGTAAAAAAGTTAAAAAGTCAAAAAGTTAAAAAGTTAACACTATTCGCCAAAAGTCAACAATTACGGCTGCATAACTCCCAATCTTAATTTTTCCCTATAAATCAATTTTTACAATTTTTTATTACACATTTTTTCATAAAAAGTCAAAAAATTAACCTAAACATCCATATTTTTTTCCTCAATTTTTTAATCTAAAAAATAAAAAATGCGCTTATTTAAGATACTACAAACAACCCCTTAATATGTAGCGTAAAAATCTTTTGATAAGTCATATCAAAATACATAACTTAAGATTCTTATGGTTGGACAGATTCATATGAGGTCTTTTTGAAAAGTAAATTATAATTCACTTCTTAAATTATAACCCACTTCACTCTTTCACAAAAACTGATTATAATAAATTATAATAAGCACTTTGATTATAACCGTGTTTCTAAAATCCCAAAACAACCCTATATGTATATATATATACGCGGCTCACCCCTACTAGTCACATCACAGTGTTAATTTGTATGCTGTGGGGCCACGGGAATCTTTTACATATAGATTCTTTAGTAGGTTGTTCTGGTATCGGGTGGGGGCAGGGGTGTGATGGGAAATGTCAACGGAAGAGACGATGGGGCTGGCGCTGGTGGTAGTGATGATGAAGGTGATGGTGCTATCCCATCTCAGGTTGAAATTGAAGAGGGTGGCGTTGTGGGTGTGGGTGCGCATGTTGACATGACTGCTCAGGATGGTGCGCACGTTAGCTATCACCCCCATGGTGGTGGTGAATTGATGGGTCACTCACCTCCTCCGAGCCCTAGGGCAGCTCACTCACCATTGATGTTCACTCCACAGGTAATTTCTTCTTTATTTCTCTCCCAACCTCTAAATACATATCTTCAACTTGGGTAAATAAAAATTTATGCTTTTGGGTCCTAAAGTTGGGATTGAGAATTTTAAGTTCAGTTTTTGTGGAATGTGATGTTGTTTCTGATGGGTCATTTGTCAAGCTCTCAATTGGTAATTTGGAACATGTAATTAGTGAATGGATCTGTGAAAATGTTGCAACTTTGAGCATTGGGTTGTTTTGATTGATGAAACCCTTTTTTGTTTTGATGAAATTCTTTTTCTTCAATTGAATATTTTAAGGCTGTGTTTGGTTGATGGATTTGGGACAGGATTTGGGAGAGAATTGGAAAAGTTGTGTAAAATGTATATTTCATTAACATTTCACATACCTTTACCCTTTTCCTTTGTAAATCCCTGCCCAATGTAAATGCTCACCCTTGTTTGATGAATGTCTCAAGAACTGATGTGGTTTTCACTTTTCATAGGTCTTGGAATGTATAATTTCTTGTTTCGTGACCTCAAAATTTGAAAGAAAACAAATAAAAGGAAAGGAAAGACAGTTGCTTCAAACAGTTTTGGTGTCATCCATTAAATTTACAATCGGTTTAGATCAAGTGATTTGGTGGGAAATGAAGAGAAAGATAATTCTTTTCTCATGTTTGGTTTGAGAGACCACAATCATTTCTTTTTATTTTCTCACAGCACGATCCAAACAGAGTGTTATAGCTTGCTATTGGATCACAGAAATGGTGTTAATTACAGTCAACCCATGGAGACATATGGCTCTTGTTGTGAATATGGAACCTGGGGCTGGAATTTATATTTTCCTGGAAATAGCTTGCAGAAAACTGAAGTGTTGAGTTTGCCTGTGTAATGAACTTAAGCCGACCAACATCATCTCCATATCTGTTTTATTATTGATTTTTACTAGATGTGGCAAACTAGTGGTTTCAGGCTGGTCAAAACAGATTTTGCATTTAAAACTACTCAACCCAAACCTGCCCAATTAATAAACGGGGTTAAGTGGGTTGGGTTGAATTACATATGGATTGAACAAATGAACCAGAGACAAACCTGTTTATTAAATAAGTGACTCGTAACATTAATGAACAAAAACTTAGAATAATTTTACATTTTATATTTTTATAAAAAATGTATTAACTTGTAAAATCGAATATTAAATATCACAATTTACACTTCCAACATATCATACTTTGTACACCCACCAAAACAAATAAAAATAAAAATGAAAATGGAAAAAATTGAAATTTGAAGGTCACAATCTGCAGAAGTTGCTTTTAACCTGTCCTTCCTTGAAACCAAGTAGATTACTAGTCAATAACTTATCTTTGATATGCAAAATAAAAGAAATACATTTTTTCCCCTAGCTAAACATGCTGTCAGTCTCTAGCAAGAAAAAAGAAGAGGATATAAGAAGGGAGAGCAAAGCTGGTGAGAGAGCACTCTCGAAATCATGTGATTATTTTCGGCAACATGACCTAAGCTTAATAAAGAAAGAACAAAAAAGAAAACGTGATCCAATATTTCTGTTTTTGGACTCTCTTCTTTTTACTTGTTCCCACCAATGGGTGGTGGTTGTGGTGGTGGTGGTGGTGGAGTAGTGATGGTTGTGGTTGTTGTTGCAGAGGTAGTGGTGGTGGAGTGGTGGAGGAAGAGGTGGATTTAAATGGGTTTGCAAGATGCAACACATTTAAACCTGTTTAGGGATTTGGGTGAATTTAAACAAGTTTTAAATGGGTGAAATTGGGTGGATCCCTGAAGGGCCTGAACTAGTTTTCAAGAACATGGGCAAACAAGCTACGTCTAGCAAGACAAACCTACAAATCATTATCTAGACTTTAGAAAGAAAACTCGCACAACCTGAGAGGCTAGGTGGCATTTCAACTTTCACCTTGTCCATGCCTAGAAAGAGATAGAGCTTGACTTGGCCTTGTCTTATATCAAGTTATCGATTTTCTCTTTTGATTTTTTCTGGATCTCTTTCCTTGAGTTGCGGGATCATCAATCGCTGTCACTTGTTATTTTTAATTTATTAGTTTGTAATGGTTTTCCAGGTCCCAGTGGTTCCACTGCAAAGACCTGATGAGATAAATGTCCCAAGCCCTTCTTGGATGCAAACTTCCTCAGGGTTTGATGACATGTGCAGTGAGCAAGGGATTCCCACAATGATTACATGGAGCTACGATGGGAATGAAGTTGCCGTGGAGGGCTCATGGGATGATTGGAAGATAAGGTGAATATTACAGGCTTATCTTTATTCTCTGTCGTCTAATTTCAGTTTGTGCAGTGAGAACTGTAATCTGATGTACCCTTTTACCCTGTTGATTAGAAAGCCTTTGCAGAGATCAGGAAAGGATTTCACTATTATGAAAGTGCTTCCATCAGGTGTTTACCAGTACAGGTTTATCGTTGATGGACAATGTAGGTATGCCCCTGACATGCCATGGGCCCAGGATGATACTGGAAATGCTTACAACATCTTGGATTTGCAGGTTATTTCCATCTCTTTATAGGATTATGCACTTGTAGAAGATATGATGGAGAAATGTAGCGTAACATTCTTAGATGGAATAATGAATTGCTAATTAGCATGGGCTACCGTTAGTGAAAACTTGGGTTGAATTCATTTTGAATATTCTGAAGATACGTACTTTGGTTGAAAACTTGTGTCATGGACTTAATAGGCAAACCACTTGGGATTTTACAGAATTTTTTCCCTCGCCAAACAGCTCTATATAGGGCCATACACTCTATGAATTGTTACTCTATTATGTCCTTTTCACTGCCTTGCTTATGGCCATCTTCTTTTTTTCACTTGAATGAAGTAGCTACTTCTATTTGGCTTTTTCTCTAATGCTGATATCTGAACTATTGTAGACAACTCTCCCTCATCTTTCCTTCATTGGTCTTTTAGCTTCTCATGAGGCCAGTCAGTTCTTCCTACTATGGTTTTCACAGTCATTTCGTAGGAAAAAAATATTGTGAAAGGAAACGGCTGGATTACTTAATGAAGGCTGCATGAATAAGTTATTTCTGGTGTTAAAATATATCATCCATTTAGTCTCAATGCATTATATATAAATGGAACACATTCCTCTTGAAGACTTAGAACAACTAATCGGACATAGTGACACAAAAAAAAAAAAACCGTAGAAGATTGTGAAAAAACAAATAACGTCAGTGATACTGAAATGATAGTAGCAAAACAGGAAGGTAGTAATTCATCTGCTCCAATTAATCCAAACCATCCAGACTTCATGAAATTTAGCAGACAACAAATGGAAGAAGATACTAGAAATTATGATTTTAGAAGAAGAATTGGACACTATAGTTATCTATATAGAGGATCATATGCTAGGGGAACGTCTAGTTATGCTAATTTCACACCTAGACAAGTTGTAGGATAAAATACTCCAATGGTCCTTCAAGTATGTAGTTTTGTCACTTTGGTCAAGTTTTCATTTTTTTAATTTCGTCCTTAAACTTTCTGTTTTGTTCTCTTTTGGTCTTGACTATTTATACTCTTGACTCTAAGGTTTTAGTACTTGCCTATTAAGTTTTGTGATATTATAAAAACACCAGCTTTTATTTATTTATTTATTATAAAATGTTGTAAATAAAAATATGGGACAATTACAAAAAAAAAAAACTCTAGGGTTTGACCTTTATAACAAAATTAACTCTGAGTTTTTAATTTTATCAATTTAAGTCGTTTGTCTATTTTTGTTAACTAAAACTGACAAAAAAAATAGTATTTTAGTCATTAAACGCAATGTAGGTATACATCAAATATCTAAAATAACTATTTTCATTGAGTTTGATGACTAAAATGCTCATTTTTCGTTAATTTTACTTAACGAAAATAGGCAAATGGTTCAGATTGAAAATAAATCAAAAGTTTAGGATTTAAATTGACTAGGGGTGATTGCGGATCGGGTTGCTGTTTGGCAGATGGATGCTATCGGTTTGGTGGTTTGGAATTTATAAAATTTGGACATTTTTTTGAATTATAATTCATAACTTTTACAATTTCCAATAACTAGCAATTTGAAAAAATATGTATTATTTGTTCATAATAGGCCATGGCATCACACATGCATATATTTAAGGTATCGTTTTCTATTTTCACAAAATTATATATTTTATTATTTCTACTCTATGTTGTTACTTGTTAGTAGTTTCTTTTTTTTTTAATTTTTTTTTATTTATTTTTTAACTTCATCTACGGGCAGATCGGTTCACGTTGGTGCGGGATGGTTGATTTGTCATCTGAACTGTATCCGTGGATTTTGAAATATTTCATCTCATCCGTTCGCCGAAAGACACGCATCCGTCCAAAATCAATTGGGTTGAGTCGGTTGGGTTGGGTTCGGTTGGGCGGGTTGAACAGATCCATGATCATCCCTAAAATTGACAAAATAAAAAATTCAAGGTTTATTTGACTACGAGGGTCAAACCTTTTTTTTTTCTTTTGTGGTAATTTTTCCTAAAAATACTTACATATAATATTAACAATATTACAAAATAACCTTCTATTATTACATTTTTAGGTTGTTGATTTTAGGCCCACTATGTTTCCGAAATAAGAACAATATCTAAAGGTTTAGACTGTTACTTAAATGTAGTCGACATAGGGTCTTGACATTGGCAAGCTTCTAGTTTACAGAGGTGATTAATCTCAACATTTCCTTTGTTGTCGTAGCTTTATACCCTATTATATTTAGGCTTGTTTGGAAATTGGTTATTTTAGTTGGTTTTTGGCTTTTTATATAAAAATGTGCAGAAAAATAGCGAGAATAATGTGACAACTTATAGTGACTTTTTGGTTAAAAACTCACCTTCCCAAACCTAATGGCAACAACTCTCAATATAAAAAAATAATACAAGGACTACACCTCTAAGAAAAGATTTATAGTACTTCATAACAACTTACAATGAACGGGGTGTCTGTATAGGCTGTTAGATTGCTAGAATATTTGTTGCTCTAAGAAGGCTTGAGGTCCAAACTTCTTTCTTAGCTTAAGAATACTCTGTCTGAGTAATCTGTGTCCCCAACTATAAATGAAACGGTCTCTATTTATGGAGTCCGAAAAGAAAAAAGAATCTCGTATACTTTTACATTAAATGGATAAGATTAAAAGTAGAAAGACCTATCTAAATTATTGGTCCTTGCTTGTGTTGCAATACGCATTCGAATAAAGTAGTTGTTAGCCACATTATAAAAACCTATAATTGCAGTCGAATAGAGGAATCCAATAAAGCTAAAGTGGTCCTATGTCTTCGGAAAGTTGAGGGGTCACCATCAGTTTTTGGCACGTAGTGGACATTGAGTTAAGTTGTCTCATCTTTCTATCATGTTCTCAATGTTGTGATATTGTTCCACCAAGCAGCGTTGTTGGCCTATTCTTGCTTGAGGGCATCAATTTAAGCTTGAACTTCATAACGCTATTTGTAAAATTCTACTAAATTCTGATAGCGTGTGAAGTTGTGAAAAGTGAGATGTAGTAGATCTTGACCATTGAAAATTTGTTGAATTTCATCGGCTGCTATTAACTTGATATTTTTAACAGAAGGAACATCCCACCAAAAATTGCAAGCAATAATGTTTGCTCTCCAGTGTCGGATTTGCTTTCTAACTGGTTTAGGACATTTCCATGATTCTCAACGATAGTCTAGAAAAAGTCTTCGGTCATGTCCCTTGATTAGTATTTTGTGTTGAACAGGTTTAAGTATTCTATCATGAACTCTTGATCAGTATTTTGTGCTGAACAGGTTTAAGTATTCTGTCATGAACATCTTCTGGAGCTTTGTTTTCTAAAGTTACAGAAACAATAATAAAACCTTTTACAAATAATTGTAAGCTAATTACTGCGAGTTTTGTACCAAATCCGTCAATGTGATCAGAATCTGAAAGAAAAATATGCCTAAGAAATTCATAATCCATTAACAATTGTGGTGTTAATGTTATATTTTAACGCTATAGGCTTGTAACTGTACATATCACTATCGGCTCTACAAATGCTGTAACTAAGTTGGCATTTGTGGTTTTTGCGATCAAGTGGAACCTTTATGTACATTAGATAAGTTTTTGGGCACTCTTTTTGAGAGTTCTCATATGTTGTTGTCCAAGTAAAAGAAAACTAACCCAATGTGAGAAGAAAACAACATATGAGAACTCTCAAAGAGTGCCCGAAAACTGATCCAATCCAATATGCATAGAGATACCACTTGATCGCAGAAACTGCGAAGTTTCAACATTTGTAGAGTTACAAGCCTATAATTGTAAAATATTGATATGTTCAGTTACAAGCCTATAACTGTAAAATTTGAAAACGAAGACTTAACATTAACACCACAACTATTAATGGATTATGGATTTCTAAGGCAGGTTTTCTTTCAGATCCTGATCACGCTGATGGATTTGGTAAAAACTCACTAACTAGCTTACAATTATTTGTAAAATGTTTTATTATTGTTTTTATAACTTTGGAAAGCAAAGTTCCAGAATGAGTTCATGATAGAATACTAAAACCTGGTCAGTAGGGGATATGACCTAAGACTTATTATGGACTATCGTTGAGAATCATGGTGATGTCCTGAACAAGTTAGAAAGCAAATTCGACACTGGAGAATAGACATTATTGCTTGCAATTTTTGGTGGGATGACATTATTTCAGTTATAAATGTCAAGTTAATTGCAACCAATGAAATTCAACAAATTTTCGATGGTCAAGATCTACCACATCTCACTTTTCAAAACCTCACGCACAATCAGAATTTAGTAGAATTTTACAAACAATGTTATAAAGTTCAAGTTCAAATTGATACCCTCAACCAAGAAGAGGCTAACAACAATGTTGCTTGGTGGGACAACCTTGATGACGTGGAATGCAACAACATTGAGAACATGATGGAAGGATATGACCACTTGACTTAGCATCCACTACGCGCCGAATGTTGATGGCGACCCCCCAACTTTTAGAAGACGGAGGACCACTTTAGCTTTATTGGATTCCTTTATTCGACTATAGCTACACGTTTTTATAATGCGGCCAACAACTACTTTATTCGAACGCGTATTCCAGCACAAGCAAGAACCAATCATTTAGATATCTTTTTCTACTTTTAATATTAGCTATTCAATGTACAAGTAGATGCGATTCCTTTTTCTTTTTTGACTCTAAAAATAGAGACCGTTTCATTTAGTTGGGGAAACAGATTCCACAAAGTATTCTTGAGCTAAGAAAGAAGTCTGGATCTCAAGCCTTCTTAGAGTAAAAAATATTCTGGATATTTTTCAGAATATTTTTTGAAACGCCTCACTTCTCAAATATAGGTAGAGAGAGAGTCGATAATGCACAAGTTGCTTTCAAATTAATTGAGAGAGAGAGAAGATGATAGCTGAATAGGAACTCAGTGCGGACTAGATGAGGACGCGGTGAGGCAAACACGAGCATACCAGGTCCTATCCTAGGGCTATGATGGGCTCTGA